CGCTCTCAAACAGCTTATCCCCTCCTTTTCTCCGCATGAAACGAATAGATACTCTAGTGTTAATGTCACGGACTCTATCACACACACTCTGTAAATTTAATTCCAATCTCATTATTTCAATCATTGCATTTCTTTGACATCCAAGAATAATCCTCATAGCCTCGTTCTGTATCAGCTCTATTTTTTGAATTCTGCCTTGGCCTGTGTAAGACAATACGGGTGCTGCGTAGTCTATCAGGGATCGAACAGTGCTTATGTATAACATCCGCAAGATAGGTACCCCAACACCTTTACCAGAAAAAGCCAGTGCTTTTAGAGGATGCAGACGGGCTTTACATAAGGTGCTGATATGATTTATTTCAGCATTTTTACTCTCACATGTGTATCCAACATACATGCCCAGATACTTGTACTTCTGTACACGGCTCAGTTCCACACCATTTAGAGTAAGTGTTATATTTCTTCGTTTCCTATACTCGTATTTGGTTTTATCTGCATTTATAACTAAGCCTAACTTGTGACAGGTTGTACCAAGTATGTTAAGAGCATCTTGAATTTTGTTCCCAGAAGTGCCTTGTATAAGAATGTCATCAGCATATATGATCGTCGTGACCCCTGGAGGATACATCTCTGATGCTAATCTGTTCATTAATACATTGAATAAGGTGGGACTTAATACTCCCCCTTGTGGGGTACCTAACTGAAACCTCCGTTCCTCAGACATGTATCCCTGGTAATACACCTGACCTTTTCTGCCTTGCAGGTAATCCCTTATCCAGTGTAGCAATCTCCCTGTTATTCCCAGATTGGCTAATTCGTATAAGATTACTTCCCCATTGGCTTTATCAAACGCTCCTTGTAGATCAACAAAAACTCTACAATTGTCATCCACATTAGACAAACACTTTAAGAGACAATCCGCAGTACTTTTGCCTTTGATAAAACCAAAGAGATTATTGGACATGTTATCACCTACAAGGTAGAGTAGCCTATTTAACAAAATCCTTTCCATCATTTTACAAAAGCAGGATATTAAGGAGACAGGTCTGTAGCCTCCGTTTGACTTAGGGATAGGAATGATGACAGCCTCTTTCCATTTTCTTGGTAACTTTCCCTCTCTATAACTCATATTAAACAAATCAAGTAAGGGATTAGGTTTCATACCGGCTAAATAATTAAGTATGTCATACGTTACTCCATCTTTTCCCGGAGCAGTGGAGCTGCCACTTTTTATAGCATCCAGTAGCTCATCGTGGGTTATCTCAGTGCATGCTATAGATCTTGTATTTAAGGCACATAAAGTTACTCCATTTCTAATATTTTCCCATGACTCAATGGTGACTCTCGTGTCTGCAGGTAAGGACTCCATACCAGCAGCACTTGCCCATTTATCTACTAACTCATTAGCAACTTTCCCTGGATCTGAGTGAGCAATGAATTTGGTCTTACAACCCCTGACTTTATTTACTGCTCTCCATATGTCTTTAAGGTTCTTAGTATTACCAATGGCCTGAGCAAAGTCTTGCCAGTATCTGTCCCGCGCCTCCTTCCTCACCTGACTGCATTCCCTAGCCACTTCCAACATTGTATTTTTCTCTTCATCCCTCATTCCATTTTTTAACCATGCTTTATGCGCACCCCGTAGCATTCTCTCCCATCCCTTGACTTGCTGATCATTGGAATATTTAAATTTCTTAGGCCCGTGCGTCTTGCTTCCCCTGCCCCCGTTATTTTCCCTCTGTACTAATTTCTCTATGTTCTCGACCATGTCCTCGTAAAAACTATCAACGCAGAGCGGCGTGTAATGTTGATACCAATCTCCCATATTTTGAATAAAATAATTTTTCATATCTTTCTTAATATTTAGCCTTTTCCTTTGAAAGTGGACTTGTTTTTTCCCCAGTGGTAATTCAACGTTCAAGGCAAAGTGGTCACTAAGTAGTTCCCGAACAACCCGAGCCTCCCCCATAATCCCCTGAGAGTTTAAAACGCAGGCATAGTCAAGCCGTCCTCCCCTGATGTGAGTTGGTTCATTGTTTCCCAATAGACAGGTATCTGGATGATCTTGTAGAAACTGTAACCACTTGACCCCATTAGCATTAATACTACCCACTGTCCCAAGGCTTGTGTGCCGAGCATTAAGGTCCCCAATGACCAGTGAAGGATTAGTATAAATGCAGTCAGGTAAATAGTTAGCGTCGAAGCAGTTCCTGGATACATACAAATTAACTACAATAAATTCCCCTTCCCTTAATGATAATTTAACACAGACACTCTCTATACCTTGCGTTTTTGATGGCGGTTCTACTAACTCTGCTGGTATGGAGTTCTTAACATAAATCGACGTGCCTCTGATGTTATTTGCAGCGAAGAGGTGAAACCCTTTATAGCCATTTAATTTCAATAATCCTTCATTCCTATCCCCTGTCTCCTGGAGAGCTACAACATCAATATCATTTCCCATCACATAACAATGAACATCTGTAACCCTGTTTCTCAAACCATTAACATTCCATGACAACACTTTCAGTCTAGGGTGATCCATTATTAATCAATTCATTGCCTAAGTCATCCCCAATAAGTTCACTAAATGATGGCCATACCTTGTATAACATCTCCCACCTCCTCCCAAGTTCACCAGTAAAAGCGACATTGCGATTCGCAAGAGATTTTTTCAGCCCTGAGATGTCCATTATTGGCCCAAATGATTCCTTCATTTCATGTGTAATTATAGGGTTCTTCCTTTCACTACGACTACCATCATTCACACACACTTCACTTTCCTTCATTTCATCACTCAATATTTCATTTTTGTCCTCAACCACTATATCCTGACTATCCTCCGCCGTTTTGTGATTTTCCTTGACCTCCTGAACGTTTAATTTAGCCTCGATGGACTCGATTCTCTGCCCCAGATTTTGGAGGAACTCACCAACTTTTTTAAGTTCAGCCCACACTTCCTTGACCATATTATTATGACCCTCTCTCTGAGCCACAGTAGCCACTTCACTCACCGTTACACTGTCACTGCCGGAGTCCTGAGTGGTGGCGTGGCTGCTTGTTGCTGGAGCCTGCCTAAGTAAAGGTGACTCCTTTACCCACGCATTCGTCCGGTTCACTGGCACTGTTTGGGGCAGACTGTTTCGCTGTGCTCCCGGTGTCTGGGTAAGAGCTCTTGCTTGCTCTGTAACATTCACCGGCCGGAGAACAGCCATACTCGGCCTCTTGCTACACACAGCCGAGCTCGCATTGTGAACACCTCCACAGTTGCAGCATCTGGGAACTATTTTCTCACCCAGATTCAGTCTGTTTCTACACACAGTAGAGAGGTGAGACTTTCCGCAGAAACGACATCGTGGATCATTTTGACAGCTCCAGGATTTATGCCCCCATCTGCAGCATTTCAGGCATATTATGGGCTCTTCCACGTACTTTGCTACATGCCTGTAGCCAGCCCCGGTGATGAACACTTTTTCGGGTACGTCACCTCTCACTAGAGCCACCACCTGACTCCTAGCTTCACCTTTAATAAGGTGACGCTTGGCCCACACAAATCGTTGGTCGTCGAGTATAAACTCGGGGTCCAGAATCTGAGGGTATTTATAGATAATTACCTTCGTCAGCTTCTCGTTCCCCTCCGGTATTTCCATAAGAATTCCATCATATCCTTGCTGGCTAAGAAACGTCACTGCCTCCCTAGAACCTACCGTTAAGTAAGGTCTGTTTACACCTTCCTTCAGCAGGGGCTCGAACTTGCGGTGTTCTCTTCCGAGTTTGACGGTCCACAGCAGCTTCTGATGATAGGCCAACGTGCATGAGGCAGGGAAGAGAAGCCTCCATCTCCGCTGATCCTCTCCTTCCTGACATCGTTCCGTCCGTTTGTCTGCATCAGTCTCGGCGTCGTTCTTCATTCTTTTATCGTTTCCGTTAAGTGTATTACTGTCCACACTACGCCTTGCCTCCTGTCTTCTTCGTTTCTTCTTATTCCTTGTCAGAACTTCTAGATACTCGCTCTCCTCGTCTGACTGGCAGCTTTCAGGGTCCATGTTAATAACGCCGTGAGAAGTAGCCATGTCTTCTGGTGACTGAGTCTCCATCTCAGTACCCAGCATGGGGGGAGGGGGGGGGGGAAGGTGCGGAGCAGGTATCTTGACCCGACCGCGTCCCAGGTAAGACTGTGTCACTAGGTCAACATTAGCCACGTGTATGTTAGCTGTTATGGCTAAATGGTCAGACATTAAGTCATCCATAATATCAGTCTCATGAGTTGTGTATGACAGGTTAAAGCCAATTCACCTATCTAGAATACCTCCATATATTTGCGTTGGTTGGTTCTTACTGATAATTTGAACATCACCATATGCATCGAGAAGTGTCAACAATCTTCTCCCGTTGGTGTTTGTGAGTTGATCCCTTAATTGTTTGTGTTTAGCATTTTAATCCCCAATTAATATTGTAGAATCAGTATGTGCAAAACTAGGTAGGTCAGTATACTGGAGGAGGCCAGTAGGTGCTTAGGCATTCAAAACATTAAGTGTAGAGTTACCAACGTGTACCCGGATACCATGATATTGAAACCCCTCTCGTTGTTGGGCGGGAAGTGGCTCATGTGGCAGGGATTTTTCAACATACATGAGACACGTATTTTTTTTATCTGGAATTATAACACTGATAACTAGGAAAATTCTGAGGGGTTTTACCTGCGGGAGTTAGGGTTTCTTGGAGGCAGACAATATCTATGTCTTCAGTCAAAACCTTATGATGGAGGTCTGAATACCGTTTTCTATGAGAAGCAATATTCCAACTGAGTATCTTGATGACACTGTACTTGTTTTTATGAGATTCAGAGGCCGCCATTGTTCTTTTGTACTTTATCAGTCTGCAGTTTCAGGAAAGCAAGTATGTCTACATACCGGTTGTAGTGCTTTATTGCAGCTTCTTTTTCCTCTTCAGTCAGCACATCACCTGTCACCATTTCTTTAAAGTTGTCACGGCAAAACCATCTGGGATGTGGCGTGCGCGGCCCAAGGCGGGCATCCACGTCCAGTTGAATTTCGTCATTATCCCTACAAGTGTCACTGGTTTCACTTTGTTCTTTATCACAATCACTTTCATCATTTCCACTACTAATTTCCTTCAAACAGAGTTTATTAGACTCGGTATCAACATCTTGATCGTCATCATCATTAAAGTTCTCACCCTCAGTGTCACTACGTTCATTATCAGGATCAGTTGCGTTATAAAACTCATCGACAGCACTATGCATTTCTATGTGGAATAGTTTACCTCTGTTCATAGCGCACGGCGTTGATGAGGCTGGGGTGTGGGAAGCCGTGGTGGGAGAGCCCAGCTGGTGTGAGGGCTGGGACACCCCCTGCTGGGGTCTCCCCTGGGGTACTGGCCGCATGGGAGCACATGGTGGTACCCCAGGGTGGTGTGGCCTGCACTCAATTAATACTCTCACAGTGTCCTGAAAAGTGGTTATCATCGTCTTTTGGTGCATGAATTCCTTATTTTGTTCGGTTATTTGCTTGGTCAGCTTTTCCACAATTTTGCTTTGTTTTTCTACTGTATTCATAAGCTCACTAATTTTCTGTGCCTGATCCGGGCCCCCCGACCAACATGAATTGGTAGGGATTACAACTGTGATTCACTCGAGCTACTAGCCGTGGCGTTGGAGTGGTTGGGTAAGGCAGGGGAGTGTGACGGAGTGACCGGTGATGGCACAACAGATGAGCCAGGGACGTTACTGGCGCCCCCAGCTGGTGTACCCCGGGCAGCCCGTCTCGGCGGGAGTGCAGCACAGTCCTCATGCCAGGCGGGAACTCCCTCTACGTGACAGTTTGCACACCTCAGTTTCAGTGCACCACCCTTTTTAGCATCACACACCGACGTTGCATGCTTTCTGGCACAGTGGCCACACCGCTCATCATTCCAACAGTTCTTTGCAACATGATTTCACCGTTGCACTTGTAACACCTGCTCCTGGGAGGGTTGTAAATCTTCATTGTTAGTTGCCGATAAGCACTTGGAACAGTAAATCTTTCCGGTGGAGTCTCTTCGCTGGTCCAGTTGGCGAGAATAGTCTCTCTGCCCTTTGTTCTTTTCGCATTGAAAATATATTCATGCTGTTTTACCAGTGTGTGATCCTGGTAGAGGTCCAGACCAAAAATGATGACGGGTGTCCTGTGGGTATGAGCAGGCGGTGGTGGTTTCCTCATTGTTATACCAGCAAGCTCTTGAGTACAGAAATATTGCATCATCTCATCAGCAATGTTCATACGAACATGGTTTGCATGTCTATTCGCCAACCAATACTCACCACCAGGGTGTGTTTTGGCTGCCTCAGTCAACCATGCATATTTCGTTGCAGTTCCCGTGCCCGGGGGAAAATGCAGGCTGGTTGTTTTCTTGTCATTATTACGATTTATGAAATTTTTAACTCCTTGTGTCTTCCGCCGGGACGCAACAGTTGTCCAAGGAGTTTCGTCACTATCAGGCTCCTCCTGTCCAGCATTTGAGTCCACTGTGAAAGATACCATGCTTGTGTCTTCCTCGTGTAGACCACTTGATGTACTAGCACTCGTGTGAGGCCACTGAGGCAGCACCTGCCTCTAAGGCAGCAGTCGCCATGCCTCGAGTGTCGCTTGGGCAGGTTCACAACTGCATACAACACGAACCACAGAGTTACACATCAACCACACAGCAAAGGAACTCCAATCACATCGCAGGATCAGTAGTAAAAAAAAATTCCCCAATATTTATGCATGCAGAACCACTGCTAAGAGGCGAGGCACGAGGAGATAGGCCTCTCTGCTCCACATAAGCGCGCTTGTTTTCAAGGTCACTCAGTCCGAGCTAAGATTCTTGCCAAATGTATCATTTCGTCACATGTGTAGCTCCTTTGTGTGCACAAACACCTTCTGAATACAGTGCAATAAAACTAACCACTGAAACATTATATATAACACTAACCGTACCGTAGTATGAAGGAGACTCGCTACTCTGTCTCATCGACTGTGAAGGAGATTTGCTACTCTGTCTCATCGACTGTGAAGGAGACTCGCTACACTGTCTCATCGACTTTGAAGGAGACTCGCTACTCTGTCTCATCGACTGTGAAGGAGACTCGCTACACTGTCTCATCGACTTTGAAGGAGACTCGCTACTCTGTCTCGTCGACTGTGAAGGAGACTCGCTACTCTGTCTCATCGACTGTGAAGGAGATTTGCTACTCTGTCTCATCGACTGTGAAGGAGACTCGCTACACTGTCTCATCGACTGTGAAGGAGACTCGCTACTCTGTCTCGTCGACTGTGAAGGAGACTCGCTACTCTGTCTCGTCGACTGTGAAGGAGACTCGTTACTCTGTCTCATCGACTGTGAAGGAGACTCGCTACACTGTCTCATCGACTGTGAAGGAGACTCGCTACTCTGTCTCATCGACTGTGAAGGAGACTCGCTACTCTGTCTCATCAACTGTGAAGGAGACTCGCTATTCTGTCTCATTAATATCAGGTAGAGAGGTGTGAATAAGCTCCAGATACACTTGGCAACGCTGTGGTGTGTACTTGGCAGCAAGCGTGCCACCTATGGTACCTGCCCGGTGATTTCCAAAGTCACTCTGATACGTAATGCACTCTTACATACTTATCAGTCTCTGATGAATATAAATATATAGCCTGGCACTGGCATTGACCATATCATCAAACTCTGCGAGACATACACTTTAGCTCAGTATAGCGGGGCGAGGGCAACAGTCCCCCACACTCTCTATACGAAATGTCGCCCGGGAAACACAACTCTCTGGAGTAGGGCAGGTGGAGCGCAGTTCACGTACCCGGCCTGAGACCAGTGCCTGGTTCCTGGCCAGGAACTCTAGGCCCAGCCACGTTTCCACCCCTGCAGCGGGCCTCACCAGAAATTTTCCTCTCCACACAGAGTTTTCGTGTTATCTGTGTAGGCTGGGACCACTTTGCAGGGAACCATGGAGCAGTTCAGCAAGTCTGAACTGCTCACCTCATGGCCGCGTATCCTCACTTCTTTGAACTATCCACGAGCGCCATGTTTGGCGTGACCCCCTCAGGGCGACGGCTGGGTCAAGACAGTGCAGGGGGGGAGTTGTGTAAAAGTGTAAAATCCTGGTTTGTGCCTCGGAGAGGTTACGGGATCCAGTAAGTTCAGTAGAACTTCGGTTTTAACTCTTTTTAACCCTGTCGTAGTCGATTAAGGCAGTGTCTGGGATGCTCCCGAACGCAGGTTCGAATCCTCGTCACAGCCCTTGTGGATTTGTTCATTTGTTTATCTTTGTTAAGTCGCTTAACAACATTGTCGCTTGGATCGTAGACTTCCTATGGCGTCATCTTCCTTTAGTTTCGTCTAATTTCGTTATATGACATTATTTCGGAGTAAAAATATGCTTTTGTCACCAACAATATAATAAGTAAACATATAAAATTTCCTTATTGTGTAATGCTAGGAAGCTTTGGCAAATCAGACCCAAAGCTAATTAGATCCCAAGCTTTTATATATATATATATATATATATATATATATATATAAAACCATCCTAAGCTTATCCAAACTAATTTAACCTATACCTATAACAGCCTAACCTAACACTGTATAGAGTTCGTCTACTAGTATCTTTATTAAATGTACTTTGAAACAATAAATTAACTACTGTAACATGTTCGTCTTAACTACAGACTTTTTAAACACGCGTTCTAGTACTGCATTTTCTAGCAACTAAAAGGTAAATTTTATTTCAAGCTGCAATAGAAAGGTCAAGGAAACTCAAGCCGAATCCAAAAGACTACCAACAGGCACCGCAGATCGCCGATAGACAGAAAAATTAACTTTCTTACTGCCTACTGCCATACTCGTCGTCTGAGAGGTATCCCCAGACGATGAAAAGTATATTAGTTCATGGACACATAAAACCCTCCTATGGCTTACCTGGGTACCGTTGGGGTAAAGGCGGTCGCAGACGGCAAACTATCAAACGGTAGAGTCCCTGATATAACTAATTATATTCGCACTTAATGTTTCAAGGCACAGTCTTAATCACCACTGACTAATTGAACCTGTGGCTTATATACTCCCTTAGAGGAGAGGTACACTACAAATTTCCGCGCCTGCTATAACGAGAGAGTAATTGGATTGTTGGAATGATCTAAGAAAGGACTTTATATTTTCATCAGGTAACAGTGATGCCATTTGCACAGATGATGACAAAACCACACATTAGAAGACGAAGAAACGACGACGTTTCAGTCCTTCCTGGACCATTATCAAGTCATGTGTTCACGACTTGATAATGGTCCAGGACAGATTGAAACGTGGTCGTTTCTTCATCTTTTGGTGTGTTGTTTTGTCACCATATGACCAAACGTAGATACAGTAATGTACTTATTAATTTTCTTCAAATTTTCTTACAATGTATCTGTTAACATTCTTTAAAAATATATATATATATATATATATATATATATATATATATATATATATATATATATATATATATATATATATATATATATATATATATATATATATATATATATACATATATATATATATATATATATATATATATATATATATATATATATATATATATACATATACATATACATGTATATATATATATATATATATATATATATATATATATATATATATATATATATATATATATATATATATATATATATATATATATATATATATATATATATATATATATATATATATATATATATATATATATATATATATACATGTCTGACATTGTCACATTCTTAATCACGTGTTTATTTTCGTGATATACACACATATATATATATATATATATATATATATATATATATATATATATATATATATATATATATGTGTGTGTGTGTGTGTGTGTGTGTGTGTGTGTGTGTGTGTGTGTGTGTGTGTGTGTGTGTGTGTGTGTGTGTGTATGTGTGTCACGGGCTGCTTCCTGGGGGTGGAGGCCTGGTCAAGGACCGGGCCGCGGGGACACTAAAAAGCCCCGAAATCATCTCAAGATAACCTCAAGATAAGAAGATCCCAATCCCTAAAGCCAATGGAAAATACGGACCTGTGTTCTTAAACTCGTGTTTTTCTCAAATGATGGAGAGGATATATTGTTGTTGTTTTAGATTCAGCTGCTCGGAACAAAATTTATATGTAGCACGGACTATAGTGAGTCCGTAATTGAGTTCGGATCAAAAGTTTAATTGAAGGTAGAGTTTCCTTCTTTTCGCATTGGTTTTAGTCTTTGGT